CGGGGCGTGGCAGCGGCAAAGTCGGAGTTGGCTTCATGCATTGTGGCCATAATTGAATTATGCCCGCGCTGCAACTCAGCGTAATTGCAGTGCGAGAGTTGTTCTTGATTTGTCGGATAATGTTCTAGTTGGTGATAATATGGCAGATAACACGCGCACCGATGTTTGCAACACCAAGCCCCCGAACCCTCGCCTACATTTTTAAACAATTTAATGACTTAATTAAACAAACGCTCAGCTGGCTTTTGATTGCGTGAAAATAAACATAAAATAATGACTTAATTAGGGAGTAAGTCATAATATTTATTTTGAATATAATATGCTATTAAAGAGAGCATATACATATATATATTTTTTAACCGCAGCTTTATTCCAAGAAAAATTGTACCTAAAGTAGCTATAGATTATAGCAAAGCTTGTTAATGCGACCTGTCAGATTAAATAAAGCTCCGACTTATTGATTGTTGAGCTTGCAGATTACTGGAAAACGCGAAAATCCCTTTTTTATAGAAGAGCTGAACATATAGACCATGTAAATTATACCTCTCCTGTTAGTTATAGTTATTGATATAGCTTACATACCTTCGCATATAGCCTGACGATTTGAGACGATCTTACTGATATATCAAAGCCAGTAACTATTGAGTTTAAGGTTTGGATATATCTGAAAAGTCAAAAACCTTTCTTGTACGAAAACTTAATTTTTCAAGATTTTTCCTATATAGCTATTTAAGTATATATCCTATATATATCTCTATATATGTATATACCTTACCTGATATAGTGAATTATAGCTATAGATATGGAGACCATACCTAAGTATATTTTGCAGACATACAAAAGCGCCTAATTGTTGAGGGGTTTGACGATATGAAAAAAAGGGACAACAGAAATATTCATGTTTTTGGCAGGATTTAGCTGGATTTGGCCTGGATTATAACTAAAACGTGTTTTCAAAGATGTTCATTATTCACATCTAGTTCGAAGGACTTTAAATGTTAATTTATAAACATTGCATATCTTTCATAAGTATTCTTATATTTTTTAAGCCATAATTTCGTATAAAATGTTCAAGCAAAGGCCATAAAAATAATTCAAATTTGTAACAATCCAATTTGTATGTTCTTTATTAAATTCCTAATAAATTCATATAACTCCTGAATCAATGTTCAGCATCAAAAGAAGTATTGGACCTATTTGACGCCCATTTTATTAGCTCTTCTAATACATAACAAACATTAACATGGCCTGGCTTCTGACCAAGTTATGCTGATGAATATGAACTAAACAAATTGTTAAAAAATTAATAAAAAAGGAATAAAGCATAATTTGAATCCTTTGGTATACTTGTGCTGCTAAATAGAAAATAAATGCCTGCAATTTGTGGCGCTCGCTTTCGAGCACAAATTTGCATATTTAATTAAATTGAATGAAAAAGTTTTCGTGGCGTATTAAGTAGGAGTCGGTGGGCGTCGTTGACTGTCGCTCAATCCATCAATAAATAACAACAAAAGTTTACAACTATTATGCCAACAAACAGTTTTTGAAGGACTTTCGTGCGACAAAAAGGCGGCCAAGTTAAGGTAAATGGGCTGGTCGGAAAGGTGGCGGGAGGGGCAGAGGGAGTGGGGCAACAACATTTGCAATAAATTGAAAAAGGGCAAAAGTTTAATTGAAACTCAGTTTCAGCTCAGTTTTCCATGCGCAATTCAATTCGCGTATAATATGAGCCCATATCGAATAAGCCAGCCAACGAGGGCGTGACACGCCCTTAACTACTTGGCATACAAATGCCCAGCCGGGCCGGGCTGGCTGGCAGATAGCTGCAAAACAGACAGAACGAATTGCACAGATGCAGGCGCAAGCACAAAAGATGTTTGCAGTTAAATTAAATGAAAAAGTTTACAACTTTTTTAATGAAATCATTTTATGCTTTTTTATGCGCAGCAGCAGCAGCAGCAGCAGCATAAACAAAGCGCTTCTCCAGAGCAACAATGGCAAACAAAACAAATGCGCCACTTGCAATGAGGCTGACAACAACAACAACAACAACAACAACAACACAAAAACAGCAACAAACAGCATAAAAAAAAATGGTCTCAAAAGGGAGCAGGGCGAACACAAACTTGAAAGCACAAGAAACAATTACTGACTTTGGCATGCCGAAAATAAAATACCCTTCTAGACATATTTTGCTTTCCTTCTAGACATATTTTACTCCTATACTTGCAATCAAAGTAGTTCAATTGGAAACTCTTTTGCAGATAGGTTGGCAGCAAGGCATAGTTGTTGAGTTTGGCAAGGAAAAGATGAAAAACAGAAACGTTTTCCACAAAGGAAAAATTCGCGTCTAACGATTCTCTCTGATATATGATAGTATGATAGTATATGATATATGCGCTTATGTGATATAGTATAATATACATGATATATGATATGATATAAGATATGATATAATACGCTATGGTACGATGCATGATATCATATGATATGATAGCATATGATATGAAGTGATACGAGGTATAATATGATATGTGAGTATATATGATATATACTAAATATGATACATGATATGATATGATAAAATACAACCTGATTTGATAGGATATGATATATGGTATGATATACTATATATATATATATTTATAGTATATTCAATTTGGTTCATGTGTTAGGATCAGAGTTAAGCTATCCCAGAGCAAAGTTTGGTCAAGATATCTTGAAAAACATATACGTTGAGCATACAAGACCCCAAATTTCAACCGATTATTGCTATGGCAGCTATATGTTATAGTGCTCCGATCCGAAAGGGAGACAGAGCAGAAAATAAAGTCGATAGCTTTAAGACTTTCCCTAGAAACAGATAGAGGGACAAGGGAACATAATTATATCGACTGTTAATACTGATCAAGGTCTATACATCTATCTATCTAAATATATTTTAAAGGCTCGTCTTCCTCTATGCGTCACACAATCCGTGACAATATTGTAAGACCCTCTGCAAAGGGTATGCAAAAAGTTTCATGCAACTTGCAGGCCAAAGAGAGAAGCGCAAAGATCCTGAGCAACTTATGGGCATGTGTGGACAAAGCATATGTGTGTGAGTGTGTGTGTGTGTGTGAATGTATATGTGCGTGTTTGTTTCTGTAGCTCTGTGTGTGTGTATTTGCACAGCTTGCAAATGAAAGTTTGCTCAAATTATATTTGATTTTGCATGTTAAAGTCTTTAAGGCGTTTAACATGTCGTATACGTAATCTGCGCCAAATCGAAAACGAATTGAGGCAGGGCCTGCCAGGTGGGCAGAGGAGCGGGAGGGGCTTGATAGGGGACAGCTCCATTTAGCTAGCTCCCTCAGGCAAATGATGCCGTTGTCCTTGGCTGTCATTGGATGTTGCCAAGAACTGGGGTCAGATTTGTGTCAGGGCTAAATCTCGGCGAGAGGGTCGTGAAATTTTTGGTGAAGGCAAGCTAATCCAACTGTCGCACTCAGGGACACACTGCAAATGGCTGCGGGAAATATGCCAAAAATTAGCTCGCTTGGAATGCGGGAAAACTATCTCACACACACACACACACACACACGCACACGCACACACTTAACTGGGCCATAAGCGTGGCTGGCAAGTGGTAGTTAAGTGGTTTTCAACATTACCAACCCCAACTCCGATAGTCGACACTTGGCAACTGGCTGCACCTTCCCCCCCTCCCCCTTTCCTCACCACCCGCTTCCCCCTGCGAGGCTGTCCTCTTTGCAGCTAGTTGTTAATGCACGCATTTCCGTTTCCTTTCGCCAGAGTCAGAAATTTATGTTTTATTGCAGCTGTTGCGCTCCAAAATGAGGCAGGCCCAACTACCTACCCTCCCCGTCGCCCCCCTCTCATCTAGCGTAGCCCTTGGCCCAGTGTTGCCTAACGCTTTTATTGGCACTGTGATTTCTGTTGCTGATGCCAGCGGATTACGCTCCAAGGCGCATAACTCTCGACTCTGCTGCGCATTAATCATAAAGCGGTTTTCATGGCTGCCACACGATGCGACCCCCGACCACCGACCCCCTCCCTCCCCTACCCTGGCAGTGCATTTAATTTGGCATTAAGTGCATTCGCCCGAAGCAACAGCCAGCAGAAGTAGGAGCAGGAGCAGAAGCAGGAGCTGGCGCTCCCTTATGGCACTTAAGCACTTTACGAGTATTCCCCATAATAAAGGATACCTGTGAGCAACGATTCCAGGAGCTTTAGCTTTAGCTTTAGCTTTGACGACGACGCGGACGACGACTCTACGACAGAGTCGGATTTTTATGGGCTCAGACATTATGGCGGCACATGTATTTATGAGGCGTCATCACAGGACTCGGGGGCGTTGGGCCGTGAGCCTCATCAAATGCGAGCACAATGTAGACACAATGTAAGCAGTCGCCGTTGCCGTTGCCCGCAATGAAACTCACGATGACATCAACCAAATGCATTCAAAGTGCTTTCTGAATATCTGCAGAGAAAGCCAACATAAAAACTTTAATACAATTTACTTTCAATCGAACCGAAACATATTCAATTTTTATTTGTCACAATAATCTGTTCATACATGAAATTCAATTCAACGTGATTCACTGATTTTGGTCAATTCACTGCGCTGCGTGGAAGTGGCAAGTGAATTTTAACTTGTGTGTGTGTCAAAATGTAAAAGTAAATAAACATTAAATCTCTGGGAAGTTAAAATGGCTACGACCCGCTTCAATAGGATCTGATCTTGGAGAGTCATATTCTTTTTATTCTATGGGTACCAATTTTCTTCAAATTTTTCCTTGTCAAATTCATGCAAAATGTAGAGTTGAACAGTCGTAATCTTTACGTATCCGAAAAGCTACGTAATTTAAATATCTGAGTAGTTTTTCCCGAGATATTTCAATATTCAGAATCAAAATCCACAATTTTAATTCTAGAATCAAGCCAATTTTGGTAAATATTGTTATGTAACCCCTTTTTAATTTTGTCAAAGTTGGTTTAGATAACAAATCGAATGTTAATCGATATTCGTGATTCGTGCGATTTCGAAATGGTATTATATTCCAAAATCGGAGTGAAATTACCCAAGATATCCAATTTATTCCTTGCTCAACTTTAAAGAACTCATGATTCTTTCTTCTGAAACCCTGGACATCATCCCCCCCACTTGCTTATCTCTCAAAAAATCTGGAAAATTATTTACAAAGTTCACTAATTTTGTGACAAATCAAAATTTCAACAATTTCGACTAACCGAACTGAATGGCAGATGAGGAGGAAAGAGCTTCTCCGGAAGAAGAAGAAGAAGCTGATGAGGCACCCGCAGATGAAGGCGAAAAAGGAGCTGACGAAGCGGCCCAAGAAGAGGAAGCGGCTGATGAGGATATTGTGGACGAGACCGAAGAGGATCCCTTCGAGCTGCTCGACGAGGAGAGCGAAGACAACGAGCTGGAGGAGCGCATGTATCGGGAATATCTCGACTTGACGAAGCAGATCGACTGCCAGAACGGAATTATAAACGATCTGAAGGCACGCTCCCGCGAGCTGAGAGATAAACCCTGTCAAACCCGCAACGATCGGGCGGAGTACAAGCGTCTGCGCATCTGCCTGGACCAGGAGAACATCAAGCTGAACACCATGATGAATCGGGCAATCCAATTGCAGAACAACGGCTCGAAGCGCCTCTACGGCAGCATAGAGCTAGCCACCTCCGGATTTGAGGATAATCTACTCAACAGTTCCTCCGGCTGCCGGAAGGCAATCAAGTGCCCAGCATCCACAAGTCGGCCGAAGACGGCGCAGGAGATCTGCGATGCTCTGGATGCGGATTCGGATACGGATTCGGATCAGGGCTGTTGCTCGGCCAGGCGTTGCTCATAAGTGTTTTTGAGTGGGAGTTATCGAAACTTCAGATTCGGAAGTCGGACTTATAATAGGTTTCGGAGAAAATGTCGTCCCATTGCCAAATGTTTGAAATACCCAAATTCTTGTAACATGTAGTTTCAATTCGTTGGAGTCTTATTCGAAATACACACATATTTCTTTTACATAACGGTTTCACTATATTAAAATATATAATCTCATAGAATGGAAAAGCTCCCACAAATGTGAACTAAAATGTCAGAAAGTTTATTTAAGAATAATCGATTAAATATTTGATTAAAAATAACTTCAGCACCTGCTGAGCTTATTTGCCCGCAGCGTGGACACTGTGCCTGTGCTAAACTGTATTGATTCCCCTCACACACTTGTTCGGCATTGTTGCTTTTGATGCCGTTATATTTACGCATTGCAGACTGCCAACGAGCAGAAAGTAGAGAGTAATAAGTCTTATTACTCAATAACTCAATGGCAGGCTGCAAGTGCTGCTGAGAGCGCGCAGTGGGGAGAGTAAAAATGAGTGAGCTAATCCAAATGCTCGCTGCGTCCACGCGATTAGTCGCAATGCTTTTGATCCCGTTAACATAATTGAGAGCGCAGGAGTTTTAATAGCTGCGTGCTCTTCACTCTCATAGTGACTGCGAATGCAGGCTTAGCGTAGGTGAGTGTTTTTTTTTTTTGACTATTTAGTCTGTGCGCGTCTGTCCTTTCGATCGGTTGTGTAATGTGACAAAAAGTTTTGTCATAAAGTGTGTTTCATTAAATATATACATATATTAAATATCGGTGATCCGCGCGTTCTTCAACTTTAAAAACTTAACATATGTTGGTGCAGCAACAAAATAATACACATGCAGTGAGAGTGAGAAACTAAGTAAAGAGAACAAGAAAGAAGGAGAGAAAAAAAGTATTTCTTGAACAGGTATGCGTGCACTTGAACATGATATATACACATACACATACATACATACATTATATGCAGATTATTTTATGTTTACGGTTATTCTGTTCGGTATTTATTACCCTTCTTAAATGCTTACAAAGGGAAATTTGTTATGTCAAGAAATATGTAACAAATGTATATACATATGTACATATGTATATAATTGAGTTATTTTATTAACTAATTTTTTGCTGGAGCTCTTGAGTGTTATTGATTTATTTTGGGGAATTGAAAGAAAGGATATGCTGTATAATTAGTTTTTAAAATCAGCAAATATAATCATTTATAAGCCACACAAGCAAACATTCATATATATGTATATGTATGTATGTAATTCATTTTCATTTTGTTCCCATTTCACTTGAGTGCGAATCCCAACAATTGCTGCCTGAGTGGAGTTTGGTGGGAGGACGGTTGTTGCTAGAGGGAGGCGGGTGTGCGGGGGAAGCGCTCATTGAGCAATTCATTCAATCGACGAATTCAATAAAGTACAACTAATAAAAATCAAGCGAATGGCAATGAGTATGGGAATTGGCAACTGCCAGAGTCTTCTTGTGGAAGTGGGGGAGGGGAGAAAGAAGAAGAAAACGAGCAGCGAGCAAGAGAATTACAATTTTCTCGCCATTTGTTTTTGCGCCACGCAACACGTTTTGCTGTCATAATTCGCCAGCGGCAGATGCGGGGCGAAAAGCAAAGCAAAGCAAAGCAAACAACAAAAAGCACAAAGAAAAAGGGCAGCAAGCAGCAAGAAAAACGCGCGCATTCTGCAGAATGCGATGCGATGCGAAGGGGAGCTTCAATGCGACGTTTGTGGTCCATCAAATGCTTGTAAACAAAGCCACGACGACGTCGACGACGACGACGATGATGGAGTGTGGATCAGGAGAGGGGGGAATATGCGAATGCGAATGCGAATAGAACGACAGGGCAATAACATGGCTCTGTCTGTGGCGGGCGAAGTGCATGCAATGGCAATGGGCACAAAAACAAAAGCAAATTGCGAATGGGAATGCCAGCCAGGCAGCCAGGCAGCCAGCCAGACAGAATAAGGGGATCAAAGCAAAACTCGCAAGACAAACACACAAAACTGAAGGAGCGGCAGTTCTGAAACGCTTCGCTTGTTGTTGTTGATGTGTTTTTTGTGGAGAGAGCGGGGCTGAGCGTGGCGGAGGGGGGCGGCTTGGGCTTAGCTTAGGCCCAGGGGCAGTGGTAAATGGTAAATGGCAGCGCAGTTGGCGTCTGGGCTGCGCTCCTGTCTCGTATTTTTTTTTTATATTTGTATTTGTGTTTGTTGTTGTTGTTGTTTGCCACGCCCATGCCCATGCCGATGCCGATGCCTATGGCCCTTTGGCATCCACGTTTCACATTCACAACGTTTCGCTCTCTGCGGCTGTCGCTCTCCAAAACAAAGTCAACTCCTGAAAAGGGGAACGTTTTTGGCGCGCAAATCCAGCAAATGAAGCCAACATTCAACTGACGCCGACTGCGACAGCGGCAGCGGCAGCGACGCCAACAGCGACTGCGCCACGGCGCGTCACCTTGCGTCCATTCACCTCGCAGAACGTGTGGAGAGGAACGAGTATTGGGCGCGCAGCTTGTCGGGCAAGTGGGCAAATGAGCGAAGGGGGGTGGGGGGGTCGGGTTGGAACAATTTCATTTTATGCGCTTCGATTCGATTCCATTTTCCATTTCGTTCTACTCACTTTGCTTGTGTATTTGTATTATTGTCTGCGGCCTTTCCAGGTCCAGTCATGGCGTTAGTCCCCCACCGCCCCGTCCCCACCCACCCTTCCTCACACTCCATAGATTTGCCGCTGAACAATCAGAGTTTCTTGCAATTTCTGTGAGTTTGCGATCTACGAGTCGTAATTATTGTCGATATACATGAGCACAAGATATTTACAACGTAGAATCCGAGCTCGAGTTCAATGCACTGGGCGGAAGATGCAGCACCCAAAGGCAAAGCCGCACACAAAAGATACAGATACAAATGCACAGATACACAGATACAGATACACATTTGAGAGATACAAATGCGGATAGAGTAAATGGCATCGTGTTGATGTTTTTATATCTATCAGATGCCGATGCCCCATTGCCATTTGCTGTTGTCGTCTTCGCCTTCGTCTTCGCCATTTGCCGCTTGCCGCTTGCCGTTTGCTCTGTGGCAACTGATGGCAAATTGTGGCCACCGAATGGGTCATTTGAGCTGTCAGTAGGGACACTTCTTGGCTAGGGGCATTTCCGTTGTGGCATACACCAAGCTGCCACATAAAGCTGCTGCTGCATGGAGGGTTTCGCATAACGTCTATGCTCGAAGGCAAAGAACAGCTAGGAATGCAAGCACTTGATTGAGATATATTTGGCTTAAGATACATCTAGTATAATGTTCATTTAAAAGATATATCAGACACATTTATTTAGTTAATGCAATTTACAAGAAAAAACTTGGAACTCTTTCGTTTAAGAAACTTTAACTTGGTCTGCATTTTGGTAGCTTTTACAATTATTCTGATCTTGCAAATCCCTAAGAATCATAAGTTTAAAAGTTTCACAAAGCTTGTGAGAAATGAAAACCTTCTGGACATTTTTCTTGTACCTATCTTTTTTCTCTCTCGAGTTCCTAACACCTGCCACTCCACAAATAGTTTTATCTAAACTGTGCACATTTTTTTTTTGCTTGTTGTTTTCTGGTTTCAAAACTTTTCACTTGCCGAGTATCTCTTTACACTCTGACCTTTATGGCTTTCTAAGCCGCATTAGCTGTATACACATATACTTATCAAAGCACAGCACAGGCTCAAAAAACTAACAAAAACCTGGGCAGAAAAAAATACAACAACAACATGAAGAAGAAGAAACCCCTTGAATTGCCCACATTATTTTGATTCCAAGAAAAACTTTTCTAAATTAATTTCGCATAAAAAGTGACAAACAAACACAGCAAAGGCAACAACAACAAACAACAATAGCAACAACATTCGAGCAGCATCCATAAAATTTGATGTGGCGCAGACGCGTCAACGCACGCACAAAGGTCACAGGCGTCGCCATTGTGCGAGGGTCAAAGTTCAGAGACGCGTAAATTTGCCGTTACGTGCGTAGCTGCCAGACAGGAGTTTGCCTGCCAGAGGCTTCCCTTAGCGAATATCCTGTGCAAAACAAGCCTGCGAACCGGTTCGACGCACGCCTCAAACCGAAACTTGAACCAAACTAATTGCTCCAAAAATAGGCGAACCGCAAGCCAGACGCCAGACTTATCTCTGGTCGTATCTCCTCAATAGTTAGGTTAAGTACCCAGCCTTAAATCCTAAATAACTTGGCTTTCAATCATACCAAAAATCTGGTTTCATTCAGTTTATCGAACTGAACCAAAATGCCAGCAGTTGGTTCGAATTGTGAACCGAACCGAAGCTTTCTCTTTTGGGTTTCTGTGCAAATGCATGTAACAGGCAGAAGGAAGCATCTCCTTTTGGGTTCGATTATGTCGGGCGGAGAGTATATATATATATGCTCTTGATCAGCATCAATAGTCGAGTCAATCTGGCAACTTCCGTCTGTCTGTCCGTTTGTCCGTCTGACCATCAGTCCTTCCATCCTTCTGTCTTGCATGAATACAAGGATCTCAGGCTACATAAGTTTCCGATACTCGGTAACTTCTAGCATAGTATATTCAGGTGAAGCATCATTCGATTTATAACTACCGAAGAAGTTTGTTTAGTTTGTATTGTGCAGACATAAATAGACAGAAAATGCAGACATACGCCCCGTAGAAGTATATAAAGACAGGCGATATTAGATATTCTGCCAAGGGGGATTACTAGATATTTCTCCAGTCTTTATCTTCCTAGATATATGCTTTGTGCTCTTACTATAACTTCAATTAATTTGCTTAAATGTAAGCCTTTGGACAACAATTCAACAATAGCCAACATCCAAGCTTACCAAGGAAAGCCTCAAGGCGAAGCGCTCAGATCAAACATATATAGACACCCTACTCTAGACATTCACACAAGGACACTATTAATTAGCTCCTATAGATCCTAGATCTACGCCCGTGCTAGCTATTTATCGACTCTTTTCGACTATATCCAATATATATTCCTTCTCTGCCAAGTTTCCCAGGGAAAGCTTCAAGGTGAAGCGCACAGATCAAACATAAATAGACACCCTACTCGAGACATGCCCAACAGGGCACTTATTTATTAGCCCCCACTTCTTGACTAGGTCTACGCCCCTGCTTGCCTGCAGCACATACCACCCTCTGACCC